TTCAATCAATTTTATTTCAGTGCAGTATTTGTAGAAGAAAAATAATCACATCAGTCGATACACAAACGGAAGAAATAACAGTTGGTGGGTCCTCGTTTCTCTGGCATTACAGGTCTAGAAGAACAAGTTTATAACACGTCGATATCCCCGCTGGAATGGGTAGTAGAAAAAACAGTTAACGGTCGTTGGGTAGTTGCGCATAGTCGGAATTCCAGGTCAACCTCGGTCATTGTTTTAACCGAATAACCTCCCCAAGAAAAAGCCAGGTCTCCAAGTGAGGGTGAGATTGGCCAGTCGGTCTCTCCAGCTGGTCCAGCGAGATCCGAAGTTGAAGAAGAGGCGGGTTCTGGGGTTGCTTTCCTCCAGCGACTGCAAACTCGTGATTGCGGACAGGAAGAAGTCGTTGAAGGTGATGTTGAGAGGAGTGCCACTCAGCAAGGCACTCGTGGCGTTGCTGAGGAAGCCCTCGCAGGCGGTGGTGCCAAGTTCGATGGTGAAGGTGGCATCGCTGAGGGCGCTCGTCAGGTTAGCCAACAGGCCGAAGGTTGCCGTGGTGTGAGCCGGGAGGAAGAGCAACAGCTGGAGGAAAGAAGGTTAGGGTCAGTATTATTCATTGTATTTCTCTCTCTCTCTCTCTCTCTCTCTCTCTCTCTCTCTCTCTCTCTCTCTCTCTCTCTCTCTCTCTCTCTCTCTCTCTCTCTCTCTCTCTCTCTCCTCCCTCTCTCTCTCCCAGGGAGAGGGAGAGGAAGAGTCCTCGCTCTCTCCTTATCCCTCCATCCTTCCCTTTCTCTCTCATTCTCTTATATTATCGCACATATTATTGTATATACCTTTATCTGTCCATCTACTGGCCTATTTTTTTCGCATTCCTACCTACATTCGCAAATAAGAAATATCACCCCCCCCCCAAAAAAAAAAAAAAAAAAAAAAAAAAAAAAATATATATATATATATATATATAGATAGATAGATAGATAGATAGATAGATAGATAGATAGATAGATAGATAGATAAAAAAAAATATATATATATATATAGATATATCTATAGATAAATAAATAAAAAATCAATAAAAGTTGAGGATACATTACCGGTAGAATAATCATGATGGAGAGCGAGGCGGTGTGGCTTGTCTCCTGTCAGAATGCACACTGGCTTTTCGCTGGCCCTCCGGAGGCTTTATAGCACGTGACTTCGCCGGTCGGAGGAAACCGTCACCGCGCCCGCCATTTTTTTTTTTTAAACGAACCGAGGTGTGAATAACAATAATTTAAACAAAAATATAAACAAAAGACAAAAAAACATGAAGAAAATAATAAAAAGAGAAAGATTAAAGAAAGATGAAGAAATATGAAATGAGAATAAAAGGAAAACTAAAGAAGAACAAATAGGATTAAAAAAACGGTTTGGAAGAATAAAATTTGAAAAATTAAGAAAAGGGAAGAAGAAAAAGATTAAGAAAGAAATTGTTTGTAATTATTTCTTCGGGATTAACACTAGTTGGAGTTTTTCTATACACACACATAAGAAAAACATTATGTATGCTATCTATCTATGCACACACGCACACGCACACACACACTTATATATATGTGTGTTTGTGTTTGTGTATGTATGTATGTATCAATATTATCGCAATGATTATTGACAGATAGTTGCTCTTATCATTGTCATTTGCATATATGTGTATGTGTGTATAATAAAATATATGAATATATATACATACATTAATACACACTCATGTATATACATATCTATCTATCTATCTATCTATCTATATATGTATGTTATATATATATATGTCTCTATCTATCTATTTATATATATATATAATATATATATATATATATATATATATATATATATATATATATATATATATAAAGTAGACCCAATCTGCCACAAACATCTTTATTACGTTCTAATGATTCGTATCATGAATTCAGTGATCAAATGAAACAGAAAATAAACATAAAGTGCAAGACTAAAATCGCGTTAGCGCAAATTGAGACAACAGAAAAGGGGGTATTTAAAAAAACGACACAACGGAAACAAATTAGAAACGATTTTACAATATCAAGTAAAAAAAAAAAAAAAAAAAAAAAAAAAAAAAGAGAGAGAGAGAGAGAGAGAGAGAGAGAGAGAGAGAGAGAGAGAGAGAGAGAGAGAGAGAGAGAGAGAGAGAGACAGAGGAGAGAGAGAGAGAGAGAGAAAATATATATATATATATATATATATATATATATATATATATATATATATATATATATATATATATACATAAAGTTAAATGGAATTTAAACTAAAGATAACAGTCAAATCCTCAACAGGGAAACTGGCTCGTTCCGTATGCCACTATTCCCGCAAATGATACGAATGTGAGGTTAGAACCACGATTTCGGCTTTGATTGGGGGTTTAAATCAATAATCATCTGTATATCAAAACGTACAAAATATGCAAATATATAATACAAATAATAGATTTACAAAATTTAACTAAAAGGCAAACGTTGACATGGTTGATGCGTAAAGTACAGATTATTTAATCCGAAGTCTAGGTTCCATCATCGCATTCGCACGGCTTGAGGTGATGGTGGTTACTTGGAGAAAAGTTTACTATAAGAAGAAAACAGAACTTTAAAAGCCATTTAGAGAGTAATTTTGACCTTCCTCGTGAGAAAGATTCTAAAATGAGGAAGTCAAGTTTACTATAAGAAGAAAACAGAACTTTAAAAGCCATTCAGAGTGTATTTGACCTTCACCATGGAAAAAGATTCTAAAATAAGGAAGTCAAACTTACTTTGAAAAAAAACAGTACTTCAAAAGCCATCCAGAGAGAAAGATTTTGAAGTAAGGAACTGAGGACTTGCCGGGAGAAGAAAACAGAACTTTAAAAGCCATTCAGAGAATATGGAAATCAAACTTACTTTGAAAAGAAAACAGTACTTCAAGAGCCATCCAGAGAGAAAGATTTTGAAGTAAGGAACTGAGGACTTGCCGGGAGAAGAAAACAGAACTTTAAAAGCCATTCAGAGAATATGGAAGTCAAACTTACTTTGAAAAGAAAACAGTACTTCAAAAGCCATCCAGAGGGAAAGATTTTGAAGTAAGGAACTGAGGACTTGCCGGGAGAAGAAAACAGAACTTTAAACGCCATTCAGAGAATATGGAAATCAAACTTACTTTGAGAAGAAAACAGTACTTCAAAAGCCATCCAGAGAGAAAGATTTTGAAGTAAGGAACTGAGGACTTGCCGGGAGAAGAAAACAGAACTTTAAACGCCATTCAGAGAATATGGAAGTCGAACTTACTTTGAGGAGAAAACAGTACTTCAAAAGCCATCCAGAGAGAAAGATTTTGAAGTAAGGAACTGAGGACTTGCCGGGAGAAGAAAAAAAACAACTTTAAAAGCCACTCAGAGAATATGGAATGGTGTTTGCTTGCAGAGAAAGATAGTGCTTAAGAGAGTCCAGAACTAATGGCTTTAACCCATACGATCAAATAGTCTCCGTTTAAACTAGAGAGAGACGATAATCCATAAAATCCGACTTAAGACATGTGAACAAATAAACTAGATTAGAACATATTTAAGAACACGTCTTTCTCGAAGTAAGTGCCGAGAATCTGGTTATTGGTGATTGCAAAATTGAAACTGAGTCGCGACGTGAAACAGATTATACCGTTTTTATTCATTCATTATTCTTGCAGACCGTTTTATGATCTTTTAACAGATTTTATTCGCTTCCATGGTTACGCCAGTTCATATGACACCTCTAGGAAAATTCCTCTCAGCCAATACCTTTGGAATTTGCTAGAACTTTTATCTATTTTACAGCAAGGGAGAGGGAGAGAGAGGGAGGGAGGGTGAGGGGGGAGAGAGAGAGGGAGGAAGGGAGGGAAAGAGGGAGGGTGAGGAGAGAGAGAGGGAGGAAGGGAGGGTGAGGAGAGAGAGAGGAGAGGGAGGGTGAGGGAGAGAGAGAGAAGGAGGAAGGAAGGGGAAGAGGGAAGGTGAGGGAGATAGAAGGAAGAAGGGAGAAGGAGAGAGGTAGAAGGAAGGAGGGAGAGGGAGAGAGATAGAAGGAAGGATCGAGACAGAGGGAGGGATGGTTAGGGAGAAAAAGGGGAGGGAGGGTGAAAGAGAAAGAGAAGAAGCATAATATTGCTGTAACTAAGAACCCTATTGATATCATATTTCTTTCTCTTAAATATATGAAATCTGAAACATCGGCATTGGAAGTCAAGCATGTTGCACCGGAAGTCTTATACCTCCGCCTGTCCCATATTCCAGCTGCAAATATGTACGATGGCGCTGAACTTCGGGGTCAATAAGTACGGGTGTGACTTTAATTGTTCAAAACAGCATATCGTATAATTGTCAGAAATGAAGTTGAATCCTAAAGAATATCAATAATTAGAGATTTAAGTGAAACAAGCGATTATGTCAGCTCTTCAATCAATTTTATATTCAGTGCAGTATTTGAAGAAGAAAAAAAAAAAAATCACATCAGTCGATACACAAACGGAAGAAATAGCAGTTGGTGGCTCCTAGTTTCTCTGACATTACAGGTCTAGAAGAACAAGTTTATAACACGCAATACGGACTTTTAGATATGACTTGAGATGCGTTTCAGGATACAGAGGTGAATCAGATGCTTACGGGATATAACAGAAAGCACTTGGAAATCCTGGTAGACACCTACAGATATATATTAAGTTAACAGCGTGTCTGTGTCATCAACTGGTGCGTGTGACGATGTTATGAGAATTAAATATCACTTTATTTACTGTGTCTCTAATTCATCATACCATATAAGGGCATAATTAATTCACTCCATATGACTCGAAGTCCTACCAGTTAATTTGATAATTAACAAATCACTAATTGATATTGTGGGAGTCAAAGCTCCATCATTGTAGCTTTTTGGAACGTGTTTTAAACATGATGGTAAACCGGAGAAGAGATCACGTGCTAAATTCACGAGAGCTTAATCCACATGTTA